CTTTCTACTCCCGTAAAGATTTACACCCTCGGAAACCCTGTACAGGGTCGCTATGGGTCAGAACTGACTCAACGGCACTTAACAACAACAACAACTTTATAGTATACTTTGGTTCTTCAGTACAGCTACCCTTTGGTAGTCTTTTCATTTTTTTCCCCTTAGTTATTGTTTGTGTTTCTTGCTTTGTATGGGAATGTGATTGGGGGAGAATAGCTATCTTTAAATTGTTCCACCTTTCTGAACCATAGAATGTTTTTGTTTTTCTGATCATGTATTATGCTCTTCAGTAATACTTTTTAGCTTGCTTTATCTAGTTCTTACACATATTAAATTTATTCTTACGTACCACCTTATGTTTTAATTACCATAATTTATTGATTCCAAAATGCATGTTGTTCCACATTGTAACATATCTGAAATTGGAAGTGACCTGTAATTGATGGACAAGGGAGCATTGCATCACAGCGTGGCAGCATTTTTTTCTTTTGTAGTTGTACATAATAATCATGCATCTTATAAGCAGTAGGTGTCTTAAGTTGAAAAACGGTATTAATCTAAGAGTCTCTCTATCTATTTTTATATGGGTCTCGTCCTGATGTGGCACTGTAGGATAAGCACTGGACTGCTGATCGCAAGGTCAGCCGTTCATACCCACCAACTGCTACTCGGAAACACTACACAGGGTCACTATGAATCAGAACCAACTCAATGGTACTTACCAACAACAACACAACATTTAAAATGAAGGGTTTTTTTTCTATAATTAAGTGAAATATGACATAAGAATTAATATGCCTTTTTAATAGTAACAACACTTTTTGATGTAAATATGTGATGTGTTTCTAATTGCAGGACACTTGTCTCCTACTGAGACAGATGGTGACATGCTCGGCTATGATTTATATAGCAGTGCCCTGGCAGATATTCTCAGTGAACCGACCATGCAGCCACCCATTTGTGTGGGGTTATATGCACAGTGGGGAAGTGGGAAATCTTTCTTACTCAAGAAACTAGAAGGTAAAGGATATATTTGTAGACAGACATATCAAGATTTTCTCTTGTGCTTTTATTTAAAGTAATGAAAAATATAGAGTTTTATGTGTGCATGCATGTGTTATACTAGTTTACTAAAATGAATTTGTTAGGTGTTTGCTTCCCTCTAGTTGAACCTCCACATGATACCTTGAATTTATTTTCTAAAACACAGGTTAATTTCAATCATGACACCACTTAAAACCCATTGATAGTGGACTTTCTGTATGTGCTCCTTATAATTGTGATATTCTGGGTCGTCACATCTTCTTACACCATCTGCTGTGTGTACTCTGGGCTGCAATCACGGAAGGCTCATTCCTTCTGCAAGAACAGATATGTGCTTTTCTTGAGTTGCTCCTGCCTTCAATCATTTTCTAGACAGTGTTTCCCCCACCTCTTCACCCAATACACACACGTTTTGCTTGACAAACTTACTTATTCTTTAGGGACAGGTGTCAGTATCATCTATGCAAATTTTCCCAAGTTGTTTTTTGTTTTATTTTTAAAGAAAAAATGTCTTGTCTTATTTGGCTCAACATATAACCTCAAAGAACAGTATTCTAAAATGTAATAGTAGGGGGGACTAGTTGAATGGAAGTGCACAAGAGGAATGGTGGGGGATATGTAATTTGAGAACATGTAAATGAAGTAATTATTTTTATTTTGGGATATGAGAACAATACATTGTTGTTTGTGAAATATAAAAGATAAATGCCAACAAAATCTTGACATATGGAAAAGGACTTTGTATATTTTGAATGTGAAAGAGGAGATTGGGTAAGATAGGTAGATGAGTTCTCTAGGGAATGAGATATTTCTGTTTATCAGAAGAGAATATTGCTTAGAAAAATTACATAGCAACACTCTAGGGACTCAGTAAGTGCCTTATACATGTTTATTTTAGAAATGTGAACATTTAAATTTGAATTAAAAGTTGTGTTTCTTAAAATAGGGATAAAGTTTTCATTTTATTTTTTCTTTCAGATGAAATGAAGACTTTTGCAGGACAACAGATTGAACCACTTTTTCAGTTTTCCTGGCTAATAGTATCTCTTACTCTTTTACTTTGTGGAGGATTTGGCTTGCTGTTCGCTTTTACTGTTGACCCGAATCTTGGAATAGCAGTGTCTCTGAGCCTCTTGGCTCTTTTATATATATTCTTTAGTAAGTCATTGTTTTTCATCTTTTCTGAGGTCAAAAATCATTGTTTTGCTTAAAACATTGTCTATATATCTATCTCTTAAAACTTGTGATTTTCATAGTTGTGTAACAAAGTTATCTTTTTGATATAAATTGGCCTAGAGAAATATGATCTACAACCTACTTGGAGTAGCTTTAAAAACTAGTGTACTAGTTATACGTATTTAGGAGTGATGTTCTTCTGTAGGATAAGCACTGCACTGCTAACTATAGCTCCATGGTTGGAGCCCAGCAGCCAGCCACTCTGTGGGAGAGAAATGAGACCATCTGCTCCCATAAATCCCATAAAGATTTATAGCCTCAGGAGAACTTTGAGAGCATTTAAAAAACAAGGAAAACAGTTGTACGTATTTAAGCAGCCCTCTTTAATATATTAGACTTATCCTTTTATGTCTCAATTAATGGTTTGCATTTGAATAGTTTCTGAAAATAAGGCTTCATAGCTATCACTAGTATGTTCTTGGCTTAGGTAATATTGAACATTTTCATTATGACTACATTTTAATCTAAAACCAAAGTATAAAAATAAAACATAATTCATGTTCTTGAAAGTATATTCAGTTGCAAGAAAGGAACTAGATTGACTGTCTGGGTTACTTTAGGAACTGGCAGCTTCAACACACACAAATAATGATAACAAAAATCTGACCTATCAGATATGTTTCTAATATATTATGTTTCTGATTATGTGTTAGGTCATTTCAGTCAGTTTACTTTTCATCTTTTGCATATCTTCTGAATGTTGGGGGATATTCAATAAGTGAGCAATTCTTTGTTGAATGGTGATGGTTATGTGCTGTGGAGTTGATTCTATATCATAGCAACCGTGTACAGGGTTTCTGAGGCTGTAAATCTTTACAGGAGCAGAAAGCATCATCTTTCTCCCGCAGAACAGCTGGTAGTTTCAAACTGCTCTCCTTGAGGTTAGCAGCCCGACTTGTAACCACTATGCTACCAGAGTTCTTTTGGTTGAGTAGTAACTCAACTCTTTATTGAGTAGTAACTAGGAAATAGTATGTTAGCTTACCTGTCACTAACTGATATTTGACTATCAGAAGTTTTGTTATTAAAGGAAGAAGCTACTTGACTAATGCTTATTTTGGAAAATATTTTTAAATTGTGAATTCCAGTTGTGATTTACTTTGGTGGACGAAGAGAAGGTGAGAGTTGGAACTGGGCCTGGGTCCTCAGTACTAGATTGGCAAGACATATTGGATATTTGGAGCTGCTTCTCAAATTGATGTTTGTGAACCCCCCTGAACTGCCAGAGCAAACTACTAAGGCTTTACCTGTGAGGTGAGTTGGTTCCTTTGACAGATAAGGTGAAGAAAAAAATTTTTTCCCTTAATAAAGCTTATAATGTATAATTTATCAATGACTGCATATATCCTAATAATATATTAGGCCCTTGAACATTTTATGTGGGGAAAAAAAATTGCCCTGGTAAAGTGAGTTTAAGGAACACTTCATATTTTATCACTCTTGGACCTTATAGGGTCAGAGATACTTCCATAAAGAAACCTATTTAACTTGATTTACCAAATTTGTTTTACTATAAGCCCCTTTTCCCTTTTCTGTTGCTTGTTATCATTCTTTGGAACATACTGTGAAAAGAGCATTGATTATAGGCATTGCTCTAGATCCTTTAAGGAGTCCTGACACCTTCTTATAGTAGAATGTAACTTTGGGCAACTCTGAACTACTCTTTCTTCACTTGTGAGAATCCTTGCCCATGTAAAATGATGATTTAGATCAAACAGGAAATATGTGAGAAAATATTTCAGAAAACATTTAAATTATGTAATAAATAAAAGGGAGAAGGCTCCATGGAAAAGTGCAATGAAGGAAAAAAAAAAGTGGAATAACATGAAAAATTTATTATCTCTATTTGTTATCACAAAAGGAATTAAATAGAAGTTAGCCAAAATATAAAAAATACACTAAAATGTTAAACATTTTTAAGTTGTTTTGAGGTGAATTTGATGAAAATAAAAAAAATAAACCAGATCAGGTAAAGTATCAAAATCACTAATATTAAGAGAGGAAATGAAGGTAAGAGTTTACAAGTTAATTCACATCTACCTAAACCTTTTGAACTGCCACCCTTGTAGTTAGCAGTCTTGTGCTTATCCTAAAGCACCACCAGGATTCATTAATTAGCATGTGTTGTTGTTGTTAGGTGCCATCGAGTTGGTACCAACCCATAGCGACCTTATGCACAGCAGAATGAAACACTGCCTGATCCTGGGCCAACCTCACTACTGTTGCCACACTTGAGTCCATCAATGCAGCTACTTGGCCAATCCATCTCTTTGGGGGGGTCTTCCTCTTTTTCTATGATCCTCCACCTTACCAAACATGATATCCTTCTCCAGAGACTGATCCCTCCTGACAGTATGTCCAAAGTATGAGAGACAAAGTTTGGCCATCTTAGCCTCCAAGGAGCTCTCTGGCTGCACTTCTTTCAAAACAGATTTATTGGTTCTTTTGGCAGCCCATGGCACTTTCAATATTCTCCTCCAACACCGTAACTCAAATGCATAAATTCTTCTACGGTCTTCCTTATTCACTGTCCAGCTTTTGCATGCATATGAGGTTGTTGAAAATACTGTGACTTGGGTCAGTCACACCTTAGTCCTTAAGCTGACATCTTTGCTCTTTAACACTTTAAAAGGTCTTGTGCAGCAGATTTGCCTAATGCAATATGTCGTTTGATTTCTTGGCTGTTGCTTCCATGAGTGTTGATAGTTGATCCAAGAAGAATGAAGTCCTTGACAATATCAATCTTTTCTTTGTTGATAAGAATGTTGTTTATTGGTCCAGTGGTGAGGATTTTTGTTTTCTTTACATTGAGATGTAATTCAAGTATTAAGAGGATTAAAAAAGTTAAAAGTTATAATCTAAAAGTTAGGAAAACAGAATAAAATATTTGAGGAAAGCATTTTATAAGGAAAACAGAATTCTAAGTTAATGGGCCGATAGTTTTAAGTAAACAGTTAAAAATAGTATAAATCAAGACTATATAATAATGTGATCCCAGATTGTGTGATTGTATTTTAAAAAGATTGCTTAACCTCTGCTGGATTGAGATGAACATTTAATTTAGAGATGAAGGTAGAAGGGAACTAATACAAGAAATAATATCCATTCAGAAATCAAAGTTATTTCCAAGAATAACTATGAAAAGAAGGTTTCAAGATGCCCTTTTAAATTCCTGAAAGATGTTTTGGTTATAAATAAAATATTTTAAAACTTGTTCTTAAATGGCATTATTAGGCTTGACATTTTAAATGACTGGAATAAATATTGTGGCACTCTGGGTTAATGTGGTGGACTGCAAAGTCATTTGAACTACAAGGTCCGTGGTTCAAGCTCACCAGTCGCTTCTTGGTACCCTATACAGGGTCACTATGGGTCGGAACCAACTTGGCCACACATAACAACAATGGTCCCAGTCTCTTTATTGGGTGCTTAGAAAGCTCACTCTATAATATTTTGAAAAAGACAGAGAAAACATAGTGTGAAATTTTGCACATGTGATATATATTAAAGCAATTTGTTACTTTAGGTATCTGAGTAATTTCTGATTTGGTCTTTCCTCAAGGTTTTTGTTTACAGATTACAATAGGCTGTCCAGTGTAGGTGGAGAAACTTCAATGGCTGAAATGATAGCAACCCTCTCGGATGCCTGTGAAAGAGAGTTTGGCTTTTTGGCTACAAGGCTTTTTCGAGTATTCAAGACAGAAGATTCACAGGGTAGGACTTCCTTCTTCCTCCTTTTTTTTTTTTTAATGTGTGTGTGTATATGTGTGTGTAGGGCTGGAGGATAGTTTGGATGTTCAAATTTCCTTTCATTCCTGTTGATTTTCATGAAGGCTTGCATTGAACATCAGATTCATCAGCTCTGTAGCTGTCATGATTAGAATTTTCTAGATACTGAGTAAACGAATAATTGTTAAAATTATTTATTACAGGTAAAAAGAAATGGAAAAAAACTTGTTGCCTCCCATCATTTGTCATCTTCGTTTTTATCTTTGTCTGCATTATTGCTGGGATTACTCTTCTGGCTGTGTTCAGAGTTGACTCGAAACATCTGACCGTGAATGCCATTCTGATATCAGTTGCATCGATAGTTGGGTTGGCCTTTTTGTTGAACTGTCGTACATGGTGGCAAGTGCTGGATTCCCTCCTAAATTCTCAAAGAAAGCGCCTACATAATGCTGCCTCCAAACTGCACAGACTGAAAAGTGAAGGATTCATGAAAGTAAGCACTCCTATTAGTCCTAGAAAATTAATTGTAGTATGCATATGTACATCATGACCAAGATCATTTGGGCTTTCAGGATGTACTCTGTAAATGTTGTTGTTGTTGTCAGGTGCCATCGAGTCGGAACCGACTCATAGCGACCCCATGCTGTAAATGTTATAAGTGTAGTAATGAAAAAGAAAATCTGCCTGTGGAAATAATATTTAGAGTGAAACCAAGTTAATGACGTGTTTTAATAGCTGGTTTTTCCATAGGTGGTAATTGTTGCTAGTTACTGTCAGCTTCTGTCAGTTTGGTCCTCGATTCATGGTAACCCCAGGCACAGTGGACTGAAATGCTACTTGGTGGTCATGTGTCATCCCTATGGTCATTTGTGGATCAGACCATTAGGCATAGGGTTTTCAATGTCTGGTGTTTCAGAAGTAGATCACCGGTCTTTCTTCTGAAGTGCCATTGGATGGACTTGAACTATCAACCTTTCAGTTAGCAACCAATTGTGGTAACATTCTGAGGTGATAAGGCCACCACCACCACCAGTTGGGAAGGATGAAGAATTTACACCTTTGAGTTACAGTGTTGGCAAAGAATATTAAGTATACTATGGACAATCAAATATGTGTTGGAAGAAGTACAGTCAAAATACTCCTTAGAAGCAAGGATGATGACACTTCTTCTCACATATTTTGGATATGCTATCAGGAGGGACCAGTCCCTGGAGAAGGACCAGTCCCTGGAGAGGGCCAATGAAAAAGAGAAAGACCCTTAATGAAATAGAATGACACAATGGGTACAACAGTGAGCTCAAACATAGGCTAGATTGTGGGTTGCTGCAGGACCCCATAGTGTTTCACTCTGTGGAACGTGGGTCACTATGAGTCAGGACCGACTCAGCAGCTCTTAACAATTCCAGTTACAGAGGAGTTGATTTCGATTCATGCTGACTCCATCCGTGTCAGAGTATCACTCTCTGCAGAGCCCTGTCAACAAAGCAGATCTGTTTTTTAAAAAGACTGAACTGAACCACCAGAACACCTGAAACAGACTCGTACTTTTAGAACTAAAGGGATTTTATAAAACTCCTCTAGTCTCCTTCCTTTGCTCAAGTTCAGATGCCATCAGGGAGCCAATTACAGTGTGGTGTATGGGTCATTTGCATTTCTATTTATATTCAAGTCTTTTGGCATTCAGCACTGTCACCCAGTTTTTCCTTTTTAAATTGGATATGACAGTGTTACCTTCTTGTGTCATTGTGAGAACTTATGGGCTTTCATTTATGTGTTGTTGCTTTGTAAATGGTGAAGCACTCACTACTTGATTTTAAGTGGAACCATAATTGACAATGTCATCAGCCAAAACAAGGCCAGGAGCCGACTGTGGAACAGACCATTAGCTGATAATATGTAAATTCATGCTGAAGCTGAAGAAAATCAAAACCAGTGCAAATTGCAACCAAATTGCAACCTTGAGTATATCCCACCTGAATTTAGAGACCATCTCCAGAGTAGATCTGATACACTGAACACCGTGTGACTGAAGAACAGAGGAGTTGTGGGATGACATCATGAACATCATACATGAAGAAAACAGAAAGGTCATTAAAAAGACAGGGAAGAAACAAAGCACCAAAGTGGATGTCAGAAGAAACTCTAAAACTTGCTCCTCAACATAGAATAGCTAAAGCCAATGGAAGAAATGATGAAGTAAAGGAACTGCACAGAAAATTTCAGTCAACAATTCAAGAACACTAATTAAACTGTTATAATGATATATGCAAAGACCTGGAGTTAGAAAGCCGAAAAGGGAGGATATGCTCAGTATTTCTGAAGCTGAAAGAACTGAAAAGCAAAATTAAACTTCAACTTGCAATACTGAAGGATTCTGTGGGCAAAATATTGAATAATTTAGGAAGTATCACAAGAAGATGGAAGGAATACACAGTCACTGTACCAAAAATAATTGGTTGATAAATAGTCATTTTAAGAGATATACTTATATGATCAAGAATCAGTGGTATTGAAGGAAGATCTAAGCAGCATTGAAGGCACTGGTGAAAAACAAGACTCCAGGAATTGACAGAATACCAATTGAGATGTTTCAACAAACTTGAAGCAGTTACAATCTTTGCCAAGAAATTTGAAAGACAGCTAGCTGCCTGACCAAGTAACTGCAGGAGATCCGTATTTGTGCTCATTCCAAAGAAAGGTGACCCAATAGAATGAGGCAATTATTGAACAATGTAGTATTATCACATGCAAGTAAAATTTTACTGAAGATAATCCAAAAACATCAGCAAGGTACTGCCAGAAATTCAAACTAGATTCAGGGGAAGTTGTAGAATAAGGGATATCAGTGCTAAAGCCAGATGGATCTTAGCTGAAAGCAGAGAATACTAGAAAGATGTTTACTTTTGTTTTGTTGACTGTACAGAGGCAGTCAGTATTATAATTGATATAAATAATGTTATAATTCAAATAGCCCACTATGTGAATTATAACAAACCAGATAGCATTGTGAAGAATGGAAATTCTAGAACACTTAATTGTCCTCATTTAGAACCTATACATAGACTAAGAGATAGTCATGTGACCAGAACAAGGGAATACTGCATGTTTTAAAATCAGGAAAGTTGTATGACAGAGTTGTGTCTTGTCACAATAATTATTCAGTCTGTATGTTGAGCAAATAATCTGAGAAGTTAGATTATATGAAAAAGAACATAGCATCAAAATTGGAGGAAGACTCATTAACTTGCAATATGCGATTTCAGCAAACTTGAAGACTATTTGTGGTACTTGCTGATGAAGATAAAAGAACATAGCCTTCAGTATGGGTTACAACTCAATGTTGAAAACAAAATCCTCACTATAGGACCAGTTTGCAACATCGTGATAAATGAAAATACTGAAGTTGTCAAGAATTCCCTTTCACTTGGATCCATAATCAATAGTAATGCAAACAGCAGTCGAGAAGTCAAACGATGTATTATTGCATTGGGCAAATCTGCTGCAAAGGACCTCTTTAAAGTGTTAAAGAGCAAAGATGTCACTTTGAGGATGAAATGCACATGACCCAAGCCATGGTATTTTCAGTTTCTTTATATGCATGTGAAAACTGGACAATGAATAAGGAAGACTTAAATGATGCATTTGAAAAGTGATGTTGGCAAAGAATATTGAAAGTAATGAAATAATGAACTGTTAGAAAAAATAAATATACTTGTCTTGGAAGAAGTATGACGAGAATACCCTTTAGAAGTGGGGATGATGAGACTCTGTCTAGTGTACTTTAGACTTGTGATCTGGGGAGACCAGTCCCTGGAAATAGGCACCATGCTTGGTAAAGTGGGGGTCATTGTAAAAGAAGAAAACCCCTAAACAGATGGATTGACACAGTAACTGCAACCGTGAGTTCAAACATGCCAACAGTTGTGAGGCTGGTGCTGGACCATGCAGTGTTTTCTTCTGTTGTACCTGCCACATCACTATGAGTCAGAACCAACTTGGTGGCACCTAAAAACAACAACAGCATCAACAACATAACTGGTAACTAACTGATCTTTACTTCCTATTAAATGGCTTTCCATCGTACTTTAAAAAAACTATGTTATGTCTTTGGTCCTCTCTGTGCGTTCTTTTGTACAGGTTCTTAAGTGTGAAGTGGAATTAATGGCCAGAATGGCAAAAACCATTGACAGCTTCACCCAGAATCAGACAAGACTGGTAGTTATTATTGATGGATTAGATGCATGTGAACAGGACAAAGTACTTCAGATGCTGGACACCGTAAGTTCTAATCATATTGAAACTTGACAATTTTACATATGTGGCAGCTGAGAGGATTCATGACTTCATGAATTATCTCAGATGGAATTGAAGCTGCGTTTTATTTGAGTAGTATTTGTTTCTATTGTGTGATTTTTTTTCCACACATAAAATGTCACCAGCCTTAAAAGCAGAAACACAGTAAATGTTTCAGCACAAACAGATTTAAACAGTGAAATCAACACTTTTAGTTGAATGACAGTGTAAGGAAAGTGAATAAAATATGAGTCCATGATGTGACTCCACCTTTTTCTTTTTTTTTACAAATTGTTATGCTTAGAATCAGAGATGATATAGGGGTTCCACAGAATGTATAGAGCTTTTGGTTAAAATAGTAGTTGTCTATAAGATATGTTTTAAGCAATTATGTGTACCTATACAGAAAGACCAGTGGGCCAAGTAGCTCTTAGTATGCATATTCATGAATATTTCTCATACATGTTGATCTAACTAACTTCTTGTGTTGACTGTAAGTGTTTCAAAGTTGAGGCAGTATTGCTTTCTTTTCAAGTTTTATTATTGTCCAATGGTGAAAAACACAGATTAAGCTTTCAATAAAATCTTTTCTCGGAGGATGATTTTAGTTAAAAATACCATTTAATAGAAGTTTTGTAACAAAAACAAGGGAGTGGTTAATCTTACAGTTTTGAAACAGAGGACCCTAGGACCATCAAGGGAGAAGAGCACAATCGGAATCAGGACCCTATCCAGAGAAACAGTGGCACCAAAGATGAAGGCAGACATGGGGACATGGAAAGAGGGAGTAGCGGAGGGCTCTAGATTCATGGAAAGTGAGGGACTGAGAGCTGGCAGCCAGGAGACGGACTGGCAGAATGTGCCCTTTGGTGGTGTAAATTATTGTATATGCCTGAGTGTTTTTTTTTTATAAAAGCTGAGATGAATAGAGACAAATACTGTTAACTGATGGTACATGGAGGGGAATATAATCATTGTAATGAAACAAAGTATGTGATTTGTTTAATGTAAAACCGATCATCTGCCCTGTAACCTTTCACTCAAATCACAATAAAAACTAAAACAAAAAAAAAACCATTTAAAAAATATAGTAATGATATGATAGCACAGATTCTGAAGAGACATTTTGTTACATCTAATGATTTTAAATTTACATCACAACTCTACATTTCTTTTACAACAGGTCCGAGTTTTATTTTCCAAAGGTCCATTCATTGCCATTTTTGCAAGTGATCCACATATTATTATAAAGGCAATCAATCAGAACCTCAATAGCGTGCTTCGTGATTCCAATATAAATGGGCATGACTACATGCGCAATATAGTTCATTTGCCTGTTTTCCTTAATAGTCGTGGACTCAGCAATGCAAGAAAATTTCTTGTAAATTCAACAACAAATGGGGATATTCCATGTTCCGATACTACAGGTAAAGGTCAAGTTTTTTAAGTAGTTTGGATTTGAAGCAGTTTTTAATTTTTTTTATTGTGACACTTTTTTATCTTGAAAAATATTGTTGGTATTTCAGTACTTCTCTGAATAGCATATCCAAGAGAATTTTAATGTGAATGGTGTTCTCTTGGTATATTCTTTTAGGGATACAGGAAGATGGTGACAGAAGAGTTTCACAAAACAGCCTTGGGGAGATGACAAAACTTGGTAGCAAGACAGCCCTCAATAGACGGGTAAGATGCCATTTGTTTTGAGTAAAATTTTTGCATTGCTGTTATTCATTATTAATTTAAAGTGATGCCTCCTAAACAACCTCTTATAAGATTGCATTATGTGTTTCAAATACATTTTATCATTGAATATCCTTTCAGCTCCAGGTTGTTTTTCAGGAAATGTCTGGACCTAGAGTTGTATGAGTCCCTATCCTCTTCCAATGTATCCTCAGTCCTCACACACCAAACTATGCCCACATGCTACCCCAAACAAATAGAATCAAATATTTGTGCATACGATTTTAAAGCTCCCAAAATGCTTTTATTCCATTTATTAGAGGTAGAAAACCACTCTATCAATTCCTAGTCAGGTTGAGATGCCCGTTGCCACATACATAGAAATCACATTGACGACATCTGCGGAAAGAGATGATGGACTCCATATCATCAGTCAAACAAGGCCAGGGGCAGATTGTGGAACAGACTATCAACTGCTCATATGTAAATTCAAACTGAAGCTGAAGAATATGAAAACAGGTCCCCGAGAGCCAAAATATGACCTTGAATATATCCCATCTAAATTTAGAGATCACCTGAAGAACAGATTTGATACATTATACACTAAAGACCGAAGACCAGAAGTATGTGGAATGACATCAAGAACATCATACATGAAGAAAGCAAAAAGTTATTGAGAAGATGAGAAAGAAGGAAAAGGTCAAAATGGATGTCAGAAGAGACACTGAAGCTTGCTCTCCAGCGTAGAGATGCTAAAGCAAATGGAAGAAATGAGGAGGTACAAGAGCTGAACAGAAAATT